TTGGCACCTGGTCTGATAGCTGTTTATGAGTCCTACTTGTCTCAAACTGGGAAATATATCCTACCCCAGGAGCTGGCAGGGCTTGTCGAGAGGGCTTTAAACTAGGTATGAAGGGGGACAGGGAGGAAATGAGGCTCAAGAGAGATGAGCCTGGGGGAGCAATGCCAAGGCTGGGGGTGAGGGTAACAACACAACTGAAGTGCATCCATACCAATGCATGCATCATGGGCAACAAACAGGAGGAGCTGGAAGCCATTGTGCAGTAGGCAAATTATGACCTAGTTGCCATCACAGAAACATGGTGGGACCACTTCCATGACAGGAGTGCTGCAATGGATGGCTACAAGCTCTTCAGAAGGGACAGGCAACTAAGGAGGTGTTGGAGTGGCTCTCTATATTAAAGAGTGCTTCAATGTTGTTGAGCTCAGGGTTCAGAATGATAGGGTAGAATCCCTGTGGATTAGGATCAGGGGGATGGCCAATAACATGGACATCCTGGTGGGGGTCTCTTATAGATCGCCAAACCAGGATGAAGAGATGGATGAAGCATCCTATAAGCAGCTGGCAGAAGTTGCTCAATCAAAAGTGCTTGTTCTCATGGGGGACTTTAACTTCCTGGACATATGCTGGAAATACAATACAGCCCTCAGGAAGAAGACTAAATTGTTCCTGGAGTGCATGGAAGACAGTTTCCTAACTCAGCTGGTTAGGGAGCCTACCAGAGGGGCTGTCCCACTAGACCTGCTGTTTATGAATAGAGGAGGGTGGTGGGAGATGTGGTGGTCAGGAGCAATCTTGGGTAGGGTGACTACAAAATGCTCAAGTTCTCTATTCTTGGTGAAGTCAGGAGGGGGTCAGTAAAACTGCTACCTTGGAGTTACGGAGGGCAAAATTTGAGTTGTTCAGGGCACTGGTAGGGAGGGTCTTTCGGGAATCAGTCCTGAAGGGAAGAAGGGCCCAGGAAGGCTGGATGATCCTCAAGAAGGAAATCTTAAAGGTGCAGGAGAAGTCTGTTCCCATGTGCCATAAGATAAGCTGGCAGGGAAGAAGACTGTCATGGCCAAACAGGGAAATTTTGCTGAGCGTTTGGGAGAAAAAGAAAGTTGATGTCCAGCAGAAGAAGGGATAGGCAACTCGGGGAGAGTACAAGGGAGTTGCGATTGTATGCAGAGAAAAAATCAGGAAGGTCAAAGCCCAGCACGAGCTCAACCTGGCCATTATGCTTAAGGATAAAAAAATAAAAATAAAATATGTTTTTACAAATATATTAACGGCAAGAGGAGGGCCAAGGAGATTCTCCACCCTATACTGGATGCAAGGGGGAACATGACTATTGAGGATAAGGAAAAGGCTGAGGTTCTCAATGCCTTCTTTACATCTGTCTTTACTAGCCAGTCCACTTACCCTTAGAGTACTCAGACGCCTGACTGGGATGTCTGAGACAGGGAGCAGAAGAAATGCCCCATAGTTCAGGTGGAGACAGTTAGAGGCCAGCTGCTCCACCTGGACTGTCACAAGTCCATGGGACCACTAGAAGGTGCTGAGAGAGTTGGCAGATATGATTGCTGGGCTACTTTCCATCATCTCTAAGTGGTCATGGTCATCCAGAATGGTTCCAGATGACTGAAGACTTGTTTATGTGATGCCCATCTACTAGATGGGTCATAAGGAGGACCTGAATAAGGAGGACTACAGACCTGTCAGCCTGACCTCGGTGATGGAACAGGTCATCTTGAATGTAGTCATGCAGCATCTGGGGGACAACCAGGGGACCGGGCCCAATCAGCATGGGTTCATGAAAGGCAAGTCCTGTCTGACCAACCTCATCTCCTTCTATGTCCGGGTGACCCACCTGGTGGACGAGGGAAAACCTGTTGACATAGTCTACGTAGACTTCAGGAAGACCTTTGATACAGTCTCCCATAGTATTCTCCTGGTGAAGCTGGCAGCTCATAGCTTGGACAGGTATTCACTTTTCTGGGTTAAAAACTGACTGGACGGCCAGACCCAGATTGTGGTGGTGAATGGATTGAAATCCAGCAGGTGACTGGTCACCAGTGGTGTTCCCCAGGGGTCGGTGTTGGAGCCCATCCTCTTTAATATCTCTGTTGATATTTGGATGAGGGAATCGAATGTACCCTCAGTAAGTTTGCACACGACACCAAGCTGGGGGGGAAAGAATTGATTTGCTGGAGGGTGGGAAGGCCCTGCAGAAGGACCTGGACATGCTGGGTCAATGGGCAGAGGGCAATGGGATGAGGTTCAACATGGATAAGTGCCAGGTCCTGCACTTTGGCCGTGACAACCCCATGCAGCGCTACAGGCTTGGGGGAGAGAGGCTCAAAAGCTGTGCAGAGGGAAAGGATCAGGGGGTGTTGGTCAGTGCTTACCTGAACATGAGCCGGCAGTGTGCCCGGGTGGCCAAGAAGGCCAATGGCATCCTGGTTTGTATCAGGAATAGTGCAGCCAGCAGGACCAGGGAGGAGATTGTTCCCCTGTATTCTTCTCTGGTGAGGCCGCACCTCAAGTACTGTGTTCAGTTTTGGGCCTGTCACTACAAGAAGGACATTGAGGCCCTTGAGCGTGTCCAGAGAAGGGCTATGAAGCTGGTGAAGGGCCTGGAACACAAGTCCTGTGAGGAGTGGCTGAGGGAAATGGGGTTGCTTAGTCTGAAGAAGAGGAGGCTCAAGGGAGACCTTATTGCTCTCTACAACTGCCTGAAAGGAAGGTGTGGGGAGTTGGGGTTCAGCCTCTTCTCTCAGGTAACTAGTGATAGGACTAGAGGGAATGGCCTCAAGTTACACCAGGGGAGGTTCAGGCTGTAAATTAGGAGGTATTTCTTCTCAGAAAGAGTGATCAGGCATTGGGCCAGGTTGTTCAAGGAGGTTGTGGAGTCACCATCCCTGGGGCTGTTTAAGGCAAGTTTGGACTTGGTGTTTAGGGACATGGTTTAGTGGGTGACATTGGTGGTTGGGGGACAATTAGACCAGATGATCATGGAGGTCTTTTTAGGTCTCCCTAATTATTCCCACAGAATGATTAGGTCTCCCTAATGATTCTATCATTCTATTCTATGGCTGTTCTATTAAAGTACTTGAATGCTAATAGTAGTAACAGTAAAGTTTTATCTCCACATAAGTGGTCCTTGTTCCTCATAACAAGATTTTTAGTGTAACAGAACAGAAAATTGGAATAAAAATCATTAAAAACAGTAAAAAAAAAAAAGTCTCTAAGTATATATGGAGAAAAAAGGACTGCAACATGAGAATCAGGACTGATTTTATATATTTTTTTTCTGAAATGCTGATATTTAACAGATAAAATTGGACAATACTAAGGAATGTGTTTCTGCTTTTATAATTCCAATACACTTTCTTGTTGGCTATATGAAACAGCCTGTATTCTGCAGCTCCTTATCATAAGGATCAATTTTACGTGGCAGTTATTCAGAGACAGGTTCTCAAAGATAAGCAGGCGGCTAAGGATGTGCCATATTGGATCTCCCAAAGACTTTGGCTACGTGTATATATGCAACAGATAGTGTGGGCCTGAGAGCAGGCAGAGTGACTTTTAATCTTTGAGACTTGTTTCCTGAAAAGCCAGTACAGACCTTATTGTGTCTCTGAATCAAGCACAATGCATTTGTACGTCTTTGAAGTAACAGTGAATTTAGGCCTCATCTCTTTAGGAAGCAACAGGGAAAAGCACCTGTGAATTGAATTCACCCGAATGAATCAGTGGGGGCTCCTCTAAAAAGGTGATGCAGCAGCTTGGAGCCCAGCTGAAGTGCCTCAACACCAATACATGGAGTATCAAAAGCAAGCTGGAGGAGCTGGAAACCATGGTGCGGTTAGAAAACTATGACCTAATTTCGATCACAGAAGCATGGTGGGACAAATCATAAAACTGGAACACTGCTATAAAGGCCTACAAGCTTTTTAGAAGAGATACACGGGGAAGGAGGGGCAGGGGTGTTGCCCTCCATATTAATAATAAATAATGAGCAGGCCAAGAGTCCTTTAGGCCTTTCTGCACAGCAGAGGGATACATGACAGGATCTCCCCTTAAGTAGGGCTGACTCTCAAAGTCATGCCTGCTGCAGAGGTTCCACATTCCTCACGAGAGATTCCTTGCTGCAGCTGATCCTCAGTAAGTGAGTAATAGCTTGCTAAACTTTGTAAGCTTCTCACAGATCATATCTTAGCTTGTCTGTGCACATATAATCCTTAGACATAACTGTTGTCTCATCTGGGACTAGGAATGGATTCAGCTGCACCTGGGCTCCATACTTCTTTGGTTCAAGGAGTTTAGAAAGCAAGGGGCTGCCCTCTGAACCTCATGCTTTAACAGGAGGGTCTTCCTAATGTGTCTGACTTAACCCCTGCTCAATGCAGTAAATAATGGATGCATCATACCACCTTGAATCTCATTAAGTCAGTGTCTTATTTATGATTAAGCTTTGTTAGATCACTACATCATATCAATAAATATATTGTGTTGTATAAATAAATATGTTGGCATAATTATTATGAGTAGAGTATATAACTTCTTCCGTGACAACTGTAGATGTGTGACTCATTCCTATCCTCTAGGAGCTGTACAGAAGAAAGTTTCCAATACCTATCTTAGGTCTCACAACAGCCCTTTTTACACCATCCAGGCCAAAAAATAAAAATAAAAAAATAAAAAGGCTATTCTGTTAACAGAAATGCCATATCCAGTGCTGTTTAGGCTAGTCTATGTCTGACTGTCCTGAAGATAATGAAGTATCTAAGTGCCTTATACAACTTTTTCAAGGGGAAAATAAGATGAACAATAGCAAATGTCAACACAAACGATCACTTATTTGTAATTTTTTGCCTCTTATGTTGTACCTAAAGACTTCTCTTCCTAAACAAGTCTTGTATTTGTTTTATTTTAAGCTTGTCCACTGTTATGAATCACCACGAGTCAGCATTAAGTGACTCAGAGGCCATGTCTTGCACAGCTGCTGGGAATTGTAATCAAAGAAGCCAACTTGATAGGGTCTTGCAGAGGCACTTCATATATAAAAATATAGGTGATATGAGTTGTTGCCTTTATTTGTTGTTCCTCCTCTGCTATGAAGGGGCTTAGTATAGCTATATGAAGTGTTGTATGTAAGTATTCTCAATTATGTCAAAGGGTACTAAGTAAGAAGGCTGGGTAGTTGGAACTGAGATTAAGTAGTCTGGTGATGTAAAATGTCAAGTTTGAGTAGGAATCTTTCTGTTGTAGTTCTGAACCTAGTTTCTTTCTTGCAAAAAACAGTTAACTATAAGATATGCTAATCCTCTGAGTGTGCTTTTAATTTCCATGTGATTTAAGAAATGGTGTAATCATGTAGTCTCCTTCAAAAGTGGAGAAGAGCATCTATGCTTCATTATATATCTGTCCAAGCTGAAGACCCAAGCAACTTAAACTCAAAGCTGAACAAGTTCTATGATCCTAGTAGAAATGAAGCGAGACTGATGGTCCTAACTTGAAAGTAGCAACTGAGGTGCAGATACTTTGGATAAAGTCTAGTTGCTATGGCTTTCTCTTATAGCAACAAAGCTGTTTGTATGTGGCTGAGGGAACAGTGAATGATTACTTAAATCGAGGATAACAATATCCTTCAAACCCTGTCTACAAGCTGGTTGGGAAGGGACAAGACTAGGGGTGCAAAGATCTAGGATATGTATTTTGGACCCATTTGGTAACTTTCATCTTTGTCAGCTGAAGCCTAACCAGGAATGAAGTCTGTCTGTGACAACCCTGTTTCCTCTCTGCTGCAAGTAGATTATTGCTCATAAATATATCCTTTAGGTTGATTTCAGAGGGATTCCAAGGTAGTGGTAGCACCGCAAGTGTTTTCATGGATGTGGTGTATCTAGGACAGAGGGGAAGGGATGTAAGCATTTTTCAGAACTAGATACAAGCATCTTCCTTTTTTTTTCCCCCTCTCCCATTGACAGTACAAAAAAAAAGTTATGGATGAGTGCGATGTACTTTTTCTTATGCTTGGATTCAAGTAATTCATTGTAAAAAGCAGGCCCACAAGGCATTTATTATAGTGTGCCCTTGTACCCTCAGTGATGGTAGCCATGACTTAACACAGTAATCTATGCACAGTAGTATTCCTGTATGAAAATCCAGTTGTTACATAATCTCCTTTCACAAATTTCCCAAGACATCAGCTGTGCTGGTATGCATCTCACCCACAAACACCTTAGTACCTTGCTCTCCTAATCATACGGCTAACCACCTTTTCAGCTTGTGTTCAAGCTAAACCAATTTCCACATAATAAATAGTAAATGAGAGCCCTACCCCTCTCCCCTCTTTTTTTTCCTTTTCAGTTGCAGTACATGTTTACATGTTGTAGATGTTTTAATACAGGGGAAGTTTTTTGCCTGGCTAGAAATGAGGTTGCCATGGGTGGCCTGTGGTGTAGTCCTGACTCAAGATTGCATCTGCTGTAAAGATGAGTATTTCCCAGCAGTTTGTGCTCTGTATCCTGTGTGTGGCATGGTCAGGTATAGCGATTTGAAGACAACTTTTAGAGAGCTGTTCAGAGGTGGTGTACTCACAGCATTGGTACTTTACTGCCTTGAAATCAGTGGAGTTATAATACTTCTGAACTTTCTTCTGGTGACTTGCTAGCGTCTTGAAAGGTTTAAGAATATGCATTTTTAAATTAGGAAATTTTTCTAATAAGTAATACATACAAAACAATTATGCTTTCCTCTGAACAGAACTGATATTTATGCCCTCTCTAATGTATGTCACACCACCAATGAGCAGCAAAAATGAGAACTCCATCCCCAAATTACACCAGTATTTTTACTTTTTTATAGGGACCTGTAATATCACATTTCTTACACAATGGGATGCTGCTCAAAGCAGCAAATTAACAGTACTTCCTGTATCACTTTGTCCTTCAGGAATCTATCCTCAAGCAAATGCTGATTTTTTCCTTTTGTACAAATGAAATCCAGAGCACCCAGCAAAAGGAAAAGGCAGTATTGTCCTGCAGTAACATGTAATAACTAGTTTCCTATCCCTTCTGGAATTCTATTCTATTTTCTGAGACTTTTACTCAAAACCCTACTAACATACTGTCTTATTTGTTTTACATGGCAGTTTAAGATACTGTTATTTATACAGGAATGGGAAAGTCCACTTATTCAATTTTGCAACAAGTTCAGATTTTTGTTCGTTTGTTTGTTTTCTGGGAGAATATCATTACTAGCATCACTACTAGAAGGAGCTAGACTAATGTTGCTCATTGCCAGTTCAGATAGTTACAAGAAGAGCCTGTACATTTTAGCTGAAACCTCATGGTTATGTGCTATGCTTGAGATTTTATTTGGATAATGATTTTGAATTAACAGAGTAATAAATCAAGTTTCTTGAATTAAATATAATTAGAGCAGGTGTTATGGGAAAAAGTCATTTTTGTTTTTCCCAAGTTTTTATCTGTGGTCAGATTTATTGTACTTTTATTTTTATTTTTTTCTGAGGCTACTTTATGTTCTTTTTCATCTCATTTTCATCTAATTATAGAGAAAGTAATGTAATCTGGTAAATACAGTCACAAAAATATTATGTTTATAAGTTAAATGTTATACAAATAGGTCAATACTTCAACCAGGACAACCCAAACCAAACAATGGAAATTCTTGACATTACCGTTACTTCTTTCTTCTCATTTTTCTCCTATTTCAAATTGGAATAAGCCAATATACTAAATATGCTGAACTCTTTTGAGTTCAGTAAACTCACAGAAAACAACAGTTTGAGAGTTTTTCATTCTGTCTAGCTAGTAGGATCCTTTCAAGGGTGACTCAGAACCAAGGCTGTTCCTATGTAGTGATTCCTGCTTTACCACTGTCTGAGAGCAACCTGTGTTAGAACATAGTATTGCAGACCAAAGTGCTAGGTCCTGTGAAAGTGCAAGGGTAAAGTTTGATGTTATTTTAAATTTAAGTATGGTGAAGCCCATAGTTTTATTGTGGTTCTACAGTGCAGATCTTCAAGTACGTGTACAGTGCAGATTCTTCAAGTGTACAGGTATTAGTCCTTAGAGCTGCAGTTGCCATTTTAGAGCCAACTGTATTAGATAAAATATAAAGAACCTTGAGGTGTTTATATGCAGCTTGTCCAAACTGTTTACAGTCATCGTTAGTGACTAGATATACCACATTAGAGAATGAGATGACACACAACCTTTTTGTTTTGTCATTCCACATTTGTCTTATCTCAGGAAGGTTATAGGTATGCATTTGGAGCATGAAACAGTTAACAGTTTTCTTTCCTGCAAATCATCCTAAACAACTTCTTTTCACTGGTATCAGCAAAAGAAAGGTCAGATCATGTCCTCCTTAATGCTTACTGTAACAGAAGATAAGAATTTCTGTCACCTAACTGAAGCTTTCTTCAAATCCATGCATAAAATACACATATTCATGTCATTCACAAATATTTATGTATTATGTTATGTATTCATAAACATGTTTTTGCTTTTTGCCTGGTTCCTCTTTGTCCATGCAATAAACAAATTATTTTTCTTGATTTTTAATAACAAGCACAACAGAACATCCTGCCAGTAGTCTGTCAGTAGGGTTAGTCTTCCTTTTTTTTCCTTTTTTTTTTTTCCTGATCTTTCATTTCTAATTCCATTGTTCATGAGGCATGTTGTGTGAAAAATTGATAATCATGTTTGTCAACTCTCTTAAAAATGAGGACAGTGCTGATACCTATTTAAAATGATTATTAGTCATGTGATATTTTGTGATTGCTCTTGCAATATTAATCATATTATTCATTGTCTATCATCTTCAATCTTATGTTTTCATATCTGCCTGTTGTTTTCCATCATTTCATTCAAATGTCTAAGCTGTAATAAATGTATTTGTCTGACCAGAGAGAATAAAAAGTCCTAAATCTGTTCAACAGCAACAACAAAGAAAGAGAGACCCTGAAGAATAGTCCAGGCACCAAAGACCTCAGCCAAAGAGTTGTGTCAAGCCACAGGACTTGTGTCAGAGCCAAGGAGGACTGAATACAGTATCTTTCTGTGAAGCAGAGTGGGCTCCATAAGAGCTCATCTTGGTAGAAAAAGAAGATACAAGTGCAGCAGAGATGTGTGGTTTTTGCAGCATTCTCAACTTTCCATAAAGGAAGTTCAGGAATCTTCTGGAAGCTTGTTCAGCAATCAGCATCTGTTAACTTCTGTTGGCTTATATACACAATGTATACGAAGGAACTGAAAGTGAAACATTCTCAGCCTATGGAGGGGAAGACTTAGGGGAAGACCTTCTTGCTGTCTTTGGCTACATAATGGAAGATATGGAGAAGACTGATACAGAGCCTTTTTAAAGGTGCATTGATAAAAACTTTTTTCATGGTGAAGGTGGAGTCTCTATCCTTGGAAATGCACAAAACTCACCTGGACAAGGGTTGAGCAATCTCATCCAGCTGGACATGCTTTGAGCTGGAGATCTCTCTTTCAATGTAAATGGTTTCATGATTCTAAAAGCCAGCTCTTCCCCTTCCCTCTCCTGCTCTGCCCTCCCCTTCCCTTCTCTCCCCTCTTCTGAGTTCTATACAAAATAAACAACGTTAATACACGCTAACACAGCTTGTCAGCTTCTTGGATTGACACAGCAGTTAAATGGTAAAACCAAAAGGCACTAATAATAAATGTCTATGACTTATCTTGGATTTTCTATTTATGGCAGAAAAAAGAAAAGCTATTAAAAAAAATTGTGTAATTAGTGCTTTACCATATGTCTCAGTTTCATTACACAGAATCACACAGAATTGTCTAGGTTGGAAGAGACCTCAAGATCATCGAGTCCAACCTCTGACCTAACACTAACAGTCCCCACTAAACCATATCCCTAAGCTCTACATCTAAATGTCTTTTAAAGGCCTCCAGGGATGGTGACTCCACCACATCCCTGGGCAGCCCATTCCAATGCCTAACAACCCTCTGAGTAAAGAAGCTCTTCCTAATATCCAACCTGAAACACCCCTGGCACAACTTTAGCCCATTCCCCCTCATCCTGTCACCAGGCATGTGGGAGAATAGACCAAACCCACCTCGCTACAGGCTCCTTTAATGTATCTATAGAGAGAGAGCGATAAGGTCGCCCCTGAGCCTCCTTTTCTCCAGGCTGAACAAGCCCAGATCCCTCAGCTGCTCCTCATAGGACTTGTTCTCCAGGCCCCTCACCAGCTTCTTCACCCTTCTCTGGACTTGCTTGGGTACCTCCGTGTCCTTCCTGTACTGAGGGGCCCAAAACTGAACACAGTACTCGATGTGCGGCCTCACCAGAGCCGAGTACAGGGAGACAATCACTTCCCTAGACCTGCTGACCACACTGCTTCTTATACAAGCCAGGATGCTGTTGGCCTTCTTAGCCACCTGAGCACACTTCTGGCTCATATTCAGCAGACTATCCACCAATACTCCCAGGTCCTTCTCTGCCTGACAGCTTTCCAACCACTCATCTCCCAGCCTGTAGCTCTGTTTGGGGTTATTGCGCCCCAGGTGCAGGACCCAGCATTTGGCCTTGTTGAACTTCATACAGTTGACCTCAGCCCATCAGTCCAGCCTATCCAGATTCTGATTAACTCTACTGAAAAAAATTCAGCATCTCTGAACACTTGTTAGATTTGAAATACATGTACCGAACCCAGTAATCAGTATTGAAGTACTGGTTTTTCAAATAGAATATAATGTGATTTGCATTTTCAACTTGTGGACAGTTATCAAAATATATTGTGTGTATATATATATATATATATTTGCTATCTCTAAAGAGTTAAAAATATACATTCTCAAAAGTGAAATCTGTAGGAAAGAATTCACTAATTTTGCATGAAATCTTACATGACTTGATCAGCTTGAAACCATTTGATAGAGCCAAAGTATCTGATGGTAAATGAATAAGCCGTCTCTTCAGGTAGTCAGAGAAGTTATAACTGATTGTACCCTAAGGATATTGCTTGTGAAAGGAATGCTTGTGGTTGCATCAAATTTTGTCTCATCAGCATTCATCACAATAGAAAAAAAAAAAAACAGATTACTTCTTGTGGTTTATTGCAGAAGACTTGCAGAATAGAACCATAACAATAGCCAATGCACAGCACTTCATTCATCATACCCCTCCTTCTTAGATAAAATATATGGAATGAATAGGCAAAAAATGTGCATTCCTATTTCCTTTCCTTCAAATGAGATCATCCTTCATGGTGTTATCCATCACATTCCACCTCACTTGCATTCCAAGCAGGTCTCCAAAAGCACACAGAATGCTGAAGTATTTCTCTACCCAGATAAAATATATGTCTTTGACTGGTGCTGAGGCAGAAATTCTTCAGCTTTCTGCTTCTATGCAGAGCTTTCAAAGACATATATTTTTCAGAAGTGAGATGTAATGTTGAATTGGTATATTTTCTCTGGGACAGCAAAAGGTTTTTTTTATTTGTTTGTTTGTTTCTCTTATAATTGAATAAGTTTACAGTGCATTAAACACTAATATGTGTCTTTAGGAAAAACTGCAGATACTCACAGTAAGGCTGTCTGAATTTCCAAATCACAGAATACCCCAGTGCAGTCAGTCATCTAAGTCTGTTTTATGAAACAATTCTCATTCTTTCTGTATTGTTTCTTGAGAAACAATTCCATAAGGAAAAACAGTTCCATAAGGATACTGTTAACCATGAAGGATAATTTTAGAAGATAAGGCATATCTTTTCACCTTTTCAAGGATAGTAAGCATTCATTTCTAATTTTCAGTTGCAGTTTATAGTTGTGGTAGCAAGACTTCCCGTCTTCTTGTATAATTTTGAATCCTCATACTTCATTCTTGCCTGAACTTGTGAGTGGAGGCATTCCATCTGTTTTCAGATGGAAAGCCTGGACCCAGCATTAGGTTAAATGTTTTTTTCTGTGTTATGAAGATGATAATAATCATTCAATTTGTCTTAATAACTGTAACAATGGGGTTAAGAGAATACAATGAGATGGACTTCACACAGATGTATCATCAGAAGGTCAGAAGTTGTATTGTTTTAAATATCCTTTTTAGTGCTCTGGAAAAAAACATGTGAATAATCTGTTTAATAGAAAACTTCTAACTCAGTGGCAAAATACACTTAAAATGCGATTTCAAGTCCACCAGAAATAGGTGTTTTATCCAATGAAACTTAAATGACTGCATTGAACTAATGACACATTTGTGCTAGGAAAGTATTCATAGTAATTACATGTTTATCTCACAGCATATTGACATTAGAAAACTCTTTGTATAACGGAAGGGACAGAACAAAACTTGTTCAGTAGGTTAAATAATGGTAAGAGGGAACTGTAAAATGGAAGGTATTAACCACGCATTCTTGGGTGACCTAACCAGAAAAAAAAAAATGGGGGAATAGTTCAGCTCTACCCTACAGATTGTTGAACAGGTTGACTGCTAGTAATTACTTGTATCAACAGAAAGATATTCATGATTTTGGAAAGCAAATTCTGGTTCTGGTGGGTACCAACATGTATTACTCTTTTCTGGGACATAAGAAATTAAGTGAAAAGAAAATGGGGATTGAAATGTTGACTGCATCTCCAGGCTGTTTTGCTTTTTGTGTTACTTTAGTGTTACAGAATTGGTGGCAGAGCAAAATCCTTTATATTCACTTTAGGTAGAGCTCAAAATAAATAAATAAATAAGTAAAATATAATTCTTGGTAGCTCTCTCTTTCGTGTCTTCCAGAGACTGCTTTTCTGTAACACCTGCAGAAATATTCGTGTGACTGTCTCCACCCAAAAGTCAGAAAACCAAATGCTGCAATCACATTTTAAGGCAGAGTCTGACATGCACTCTCCCAGAACATTTCAATTGAGAAGCACTGAAAGAAAGACATTGAATGAAGTAAAGAAGCCACTAATTTTACAATGAGACATTGTCATTGAGATTATCAGAGACTTTCTAAAATTTAATAACTAAAAACAATCACAGAATCATAAAATCATTCAGGTTGGAAAAGAATTCTAAGATCACCTGGTCCAACCTTTAACCTAGTACTAACAATTCCATCACTGAACCATACTACTAAGTTCCAAGTCTACACGTTTCTTGAAAACCTCCAGGAATGGTGACTCAACCACTTCCCTGGACAGCCCATTCCAATGCTGCACAACCCTTTCAGTAAGGAAATTTCTCCCAATATTCAACCTAAAAATCCCCTGGCACTACTTGAGTCCATTTCCCCTTATCTTATCTCTTGGTGCATGGGAGGAGAGCCTAATCCCCACTTCACTCTAGCCTCCTTTAAGGCAATGGTAGAGGGTGATAAGATCTCCCTTAAGCCTTCTTTTCTCCAGGCTAAACAACACAGTTCCCTCAGCTGTTCCTAATAAGACTTCATCAGCTTTGTTGCCTTCTTTGGACACTCTCAACAACCTCAGTGTCCTTCTTATAGTGAGGGGCCCAAAACTGAGCGCAATAATTGAGATGCAGCCTCATCAGAGATGAGTACAGAGGACTACTTCCCTAGGCCTGCTGACCACACTATTTAATGACATAAAAAAATAACTATGAGACTCTCTGGAAGTTTTCTGTGATTTAACACTAGATTGTAAAATAAAGAATAGGCAATTCTATATTTATAGTTCTGAAATGTTTTTAAATACTATATTTTCCATCTTACAACACACAGCAGTAACAGTGACAATGTTAATAAATGATGATTATTATTTAGCCATGAGCAGTCAGATATGCAAATATGTGAAGATCACATCATGCATTTTCACAGGGATTTAAATGGTTATGATTAAAGCAGTTTATGATAAGTGCAGAATGTCCAGCATACAACTTAACAAAAACATCATACGATGGGTGAGCAATTGGCTGACAGGCAGAGCTCAAAGGCATGTGGTAAATGGAGCCACGTTAGGCTGGTGGATCGTCACTAGTGGGGTCCCCCAAGGCTCCATTTTAGGGCCAGTCCTCTTCAATGTTTTTTTATAAATGATTTGGATGTAGGACTAGAAGGTGTTTTGAGCAAATTTGCTGATGGCACCAAACTTGGAGGAGTTGTTGACACTGTTGAGGGTAGAAAGGCCTTGCAGAGAGATCTGGACAGATTGGAGAGCTGGGCGATCACCAACCTCATGAAGATTAACAAGAGCAAGTGCCGGATCCTGCACCTGGGACGGGGCCACCCTGGCTATACGTACCGACTGGGTGACGAGATGCTGGAGAGCAGCCCCGCAGAGAGGGATCTGGGGGCGGTGGTTGACAGCAAGTTGAACATGAGCCAGCAGTGTGCCCTGGCAGCCAGGAGGGCCAACCATATCCTGGGGTGCATCAAGCGCGGCATTGCTAGTCAGTTGAGGGAAGTGATTGTCCTGCTCTACTCTGTGCTGGTGCGGTCTCACCTTGAATACAGATGAGGTCACTTGGCCTTTTCAGCCTGGAGAAGGAGAGGCTGAGGGGAGATCTCATCGCAACCTACAGCTTCCTCATGAGAGGGAGTGGAGGGGCAGGCGACAACCTATGCTCTTTAGTGACCAGTGATAGGATCCTAGGGAATGGTGTCAAGCTGCAACAGGGGAGGTTCAGGCTGGACATCAGGAAAACGTTCTTCACTGAGAGGGTGGTCGCGCACTGGAACAGAATCCCCAGGGAACTAGTCACTGCACCAAGCCTGTCAGAGTTTAAGAAACGTTTGGACTGTGCACTTAGTCATATGGTCTGAATTTTTAGGTAGACCTGTGTGGTG